AGTGGGGCAGGTGGGGTGAAGGTGAATGAAGCGTGCGTGTCAGCCCTCGCATAGCGTCAGCCTAGGGTAGGATTTGGGGGCGGGTAGGAAGGGGGTAAAGGGAGAGAAGGGTAGGAAGGGGAGAGGAACGGGTCAAAGAAGGGCAGGGGTGGGAGAGGAACGGGTCAAAGAAAGGAGGAAGGGTAGGATTCAGGCGCGGATGGAAAGGGCAGGGCGCAGGGCAGGGGAGGATAGGGTAGGGAGCGGAACAGGTCAAAGGAGGAGGGGCGGAGCGTGCGTCAGACTCAGGTGTGGGTAGGAAAGGAAGGAAGGGTAGGACACAGATCAGGTCTCGTCGTCTCGTCGAGTCGCGGAACGCCTCCCCCCCAAAAATAAAAATAAAATAAAAATCCCCCCCCCCAAAAAAAAAAATATAACAAAAACAAAAAACCCGAAGGACCCACGCACAGATCAACCCACACCCACTCCACCCTCCCAAACACCTCAAAGTCCGCGCGCAGCTGCAGCCGCGAGAGCGGGTCGTTCGCCGTGCTGTCGATGCGGAGGACGCGGGTGTATGGGTGCTCTGGGTTTGCGTCGGAGTGAACGGCGTCGGCGACGTCGAAGTCTGGGTCGGCGACGGTCACAGAGTCAACGTCGGTCGCGCACGCCTCCCCGTTCGCGTTGCGCGTGTACTCCAGGTCCGAGTCCGAATCCACGTCAACGTCCCAGTCCACGTCGCGCGTATGGTCGTACCCCACATCATGCGCCGCCTGCCCCTCCCCCACCTCCCCTACCCCCTCCCCACTCAGCCCCGACTCAGCCGAGCCACCTCGATCCCCAACGCACACCCCTGCACGACGAGCCCGCGCTGCTTGACGCCCTCGTAGAACGCGCGCGCGTGCGCGGGAAGGAAGAAGGATATGTCCTATGGGGAGGGAAGGGGTCAGCTTGACTTGGCTTGGGAACACAGGACGGGACGCAGGAAGGTCGGGGCGGGGCGGGGCGAAGGAAGCAGGAAGGATAAAGGGGAAGGACGGGCTCCGCAGATAAAGGAACGCAAGGGGACGCAGCGGGAGGAAAAGACGGAAACCCAACCACTTACAGCACTCCCATCCCCATTCAAATCCACCTCTTCCAGCGCCCCGCCGTATATCCTCTTACACAGGTCGCGCAGGGTTGTTCCTTGTGGAGGCCGGTCAGGGTGACGCGTGTGAATGGGCGCATTGGCGGATCGTGTGCGTCGCTCGAACGATTGGGAGGAGGGAAGGTAGGTGTACGCAGGGACCTTGAGGCTAAGCGTGTACCCAGATCGTCCTCCGGACGCGGCGCGCCCTCGGGAGCTCGCATCGGTCCGTGCCGTACATGACGTGCACGCGCGCCATGGCGGGGTCGGCGCGGATGCGCGCGTGGGCCTGGGGGAGGTGGTGTTAGTTTGGTAGTCCGTAGACAAACATAACAAACAAGAAAAAGAATGAACGACAGGAAAAGAATGAACGACATACCCTCACAGCGCTCCCGACATCATAAAAGTCCACCACCAGCAATCTCGCGATACGCCGCCCTCGGGTCGTCCACCGCCGCAGCGTAAGCCGCTCCACCGCTCGTCGCCGAGGTACGCACGCAGCTGCTCTGCGGACAAGCGCTCCGCCCTAGATCGCCCGCGCACAGGAGGAGCGTCCGCCGCGCGCGGTCCCTCTCCACCGCCGTCGCGAGGACGGGGTCCAGCGGCTTATAGGGCAGCCAGGTGCACGAGAGGGTGTGTCCGCGGAGGACAAGCGGCTCCGCGACGAAGCGCGCTGCGCTGATCCGTGCAGGAAGGAGAGCTCCGCGTGGGTGGTCTGGGTCTCGGTCGCGGTCGAGGGAAGGCGAGGGAACGAATTTGACGTGTTCGAGGGCCCCGGTGTGTACTAAGTCTAAGAGTTGTTGGACCGAGGTGTCGGGCGGGATATTTGCGAGCAGGATGGCGCGCCGGACGAAAGGCGGGTCATTTGGAGCAAGACACGCGAGGAGCTCAGGATGTTAGATAGAGGGTCGGCGACGCGGTTGGAGATCGACAGGTCTGAGTCTGAGCAAAGTCGCGTCGGTGAAAAAAGAACAGAGGCCGCCAAGTCCTGGAGTGGCGCGCAGAAAGCTTGGGAGACGACAAAAATACGGGGCTGGCTTCAACCACCCATTCATTCCTTGTCCAGCCCAGGACGCGCGGGTGCGAGAAGCTGCTTTGACCGGCACGTGCCCCAAATCCTCCATTCACAACAGCACCAAACACACTTCTGGTCCGTGCGCACGACTGCGGTATAAATCTGTGCTCTCAACGTTGTGGCAAGTCATACTTACCTTGATGGCACAGGCCCCTTCACCTACCTGGGTCTGTGGGCCGTGGGAACACTCCATAGCACGGCGACCCTGTCCATACAGAGTGCGCCTGCGGCTTGTATGTGCTTAGGTGCATGCACCGTCCCAATATTTTCCTGTTCCACCACGGCCACTCGGCTGGGTGGGCCTTTTTTTCGTTCTTTGAGGTTCTAACCCTAACCCTAATTACATCACAATATATCGCTTTGACCGTTCCTATTTGAGTGATCGCGCGATTTCTAAGATGTTCTTGCATAACAGTGGCCGCAGTCACTAACCAAAAAAAATGGTTGACGTTCAAACCCATGCCCCAGGCTCGAATCGAACGAGCGATCTCTGTAACAGGTCATTTGCTTGCTCTATGATTGCAGATGCGGGCCATCCGCCACTGGGGCTTTTCAGTACGCTGGGGACTCCAAATATGTGGGCTACTTTTCAGGCATACCAGCTCGAGGTAGCGGTCTGAGCCTGTTGCGGTGCGAGTACCGCTTCATTTATATTAAATTTGTTTCCTTGCCTTGGCTCGAGTGAACCTTGGTCGATCCACTTTGCTCCTACGCAATGAGCAAAAAAGTTCGTGGATCATTCAGCCCTCATGGCTCGGCCTCGAATCGAACGAGTGATCCTGCTCAAACGGTAGATCTAACACACCAATATCTGCAGGTGCGGACCATCCGCCACCGAGCCGTTTCTACCTCTACTTTCATCAAATAGGTCAGCTACTTTTTTTGAGGAGGGACCAAAACATAACGTTTCCAGTGGGAATTCAATGATGTTTGAATGTGAGAAAAAAAGTCCCCCTAGTTAAATACCGCGGCCGAGGTGCCACAGTGTTTGCCAAAGCAAGGAGAAAAAAAAATATCCGTTTTAACTGCAATGCCTCGGGCTCGAATGAACGAGCAACCTCTGCGCAACTTGGATGAGCCAATGCAAATTGTTGCAGATGCGGACCATCCGCCACCGAGGCTTCGCAGGAGAGTACAGACTCCAAATATGTGGACAACTTTCCAGACATAGAGTTGAAACGAGCTCTAGGTTGCAGTCTGAGCTCAGTTGCAGATGCAAAAGTCCTGGTTTGCTCGTTCTTTTGATTTCCTGCCTTGTCTCAAATGATCGGTAATATTTGGTCGGTTCATTTTCGCTCCCCCCCAAGGAAGGGAAAAAAATATTTTACGATCACACCATGGCTCGGCCTCGAATCGAACGAGGGACGCCTACTCAAACATAACCTGGGTCGCATGTATTTGATATGGTGCAGGTGCGGACCATCCGCCACCGAGCCGGTTCATACCCTACTTGCACTCAGAATATATTGATGACTTTTTGAGGCTGGGAAAGGGACACACAAAATGAACGTGGCCCAAATTGGGGGGTACATCCAATACATAGTGCTTGAATATGAAAAAAGTCTTCTAAGTCTTAGATACATGCTGCGGCCAAGGTCCCACAGTGTTTACCACGACAAAAAAAAACACGCTGCGGACCATGCATGCCTCGGGCTCGAATCGAACGAGCTACGTCTGTGGAACGCGCAGTTTACCGAACCAACCGTTACAGATGCGGACCATCCGCCACCGAGGCTTTTCAAAGCACTGCGAACTCCAAGTTTGGGGACAAACTTTGAGGCATAGAGTTGAAACGAGCTCTAGGTTGCAGTCTGAGCCTGGTTGCAGGATGCAAATCCTCGTTCTTTTGATATCTTGCCTTGATGCTTATTTTTAGTCGATCCACTTTCGCTCCTACCCAAGGACTGAAAAAAAGGCACAGTCTTCCTTCAATCTCATGGCTCGGCCTCGAATCGAACGAGGAATTCCTGCCTGCTCAACGTGGCGGTACAACAACAATCGTTGCAGGCGCGGACCATCCGCCACCGAGTCGGTTCCTACTGTGTTCTCACTCGTAATATACCAATGACTTTTATGAGGCTGGGGAAATAGATAATACAAAATGAAGGTGGTCTAAACAGTGCTTCAATGCGACGCAAAAGATTCTCAGAGCCATCATGTACTCGATAAATTCCTGGGCATCGGCACGTACCAATTTCCACAGCAGAAAAAAATCCGTGATCACCACTTATGCCTCGGGCTCGAATCGAACGAGCGACCTCTGCGCCACTTGGATGCACATATGTGAATTGTTGCAGATACGGACCATCCACCACCGAGGCTTTTCAAACCATTGCCAACTCCGAATATATTGGCAACTTTCCAAGCTTAGAGTTGAACCGAGGTTGCAGTCTGAGCTCAAGTGCAGGATGAAAATCCTGGTTGATTTATTTTTTCCATTTCTTGCCTTGGCTCGGTGAGCTTTTTGGTTGGTTCAGTTTCGCACCCACCGACGAAGGAAGAAAAATGGTTCACGATCACAACATGGCTCGACCTCGAATCGAACGAGTGGTTCCTGCTCAAACATAACCAGGGTCGCATGTATCTGATATTGTGCAGGCGCGGACCATCCGCCACCGAGCCGGTTAATACCTTGCTCCCACTCGCAATATGCTGGGGATTTATTTGAGGCTGGGGGAATGGACACACAATGAATGCGATGGGTATCAATACACAGTGCTTGAATATGGAAAAAAGTCCTCTGAGTCTTAGATACATGCTGTCGCCAAAGTCCCACAGCGTTTACCCCGACAAAAGAAAAATATCGGTTTCAACCTCGAATGCCTCGGGCTCGAATCAAACGAGCGACCTCTGCATAACCCATATATAGTAACCAATGAACTGTCGCAGACGCGGGCCATCCGCCACCGAGGCTTTTCAAACCATTGCCAACTCTGAATATATTGGCAACTTCCCAGGCATAGTGTTGAAACGAGGCAGCGGTCTGAACTCAAGTGGAGGATGCAAATCCTGGTTTGCTCGTTCTTTTGATTTCCTGCTTTGGCTCAGAGTGGTAATTTTTGGTTGGTTGAATTTCGCATCCACCAAGGAAGGGAGAAAAATGCCTCACTGTCACACCATGGCTCGACCTCGAATCGAACGAGGGATTCCTACTCAAACATAACCAGGGTCGCATGTATTTGATATAGTGCAGGTGCGGACCATCCGCCACCGAGCCGGTTAATACCCTCACACTCACCTGGAATATGTTGATGACTTTGTTTTGAGACTCGGAAATGGATACACAATGAACGTGGTCTAAAGTGGTGTGAGTCCGTTTAATACTGTAGTGTTTGAATATGACAAAAAGTCTTCTGAGTCTTAGATACATGCTGCGGCCAAGGTCCTATTTTGTTTGCCACGACAAAAAAAAAGATGCGTCACAACCATGAATGCCTCGGGCTCGAATCGAACGAGCTACTTCTGCCCAATACTTTCTTTGATTTCGCTCAGCAGTATTAATTGTAGACGCGGACCATCCGCCACCGAGGCTTTTCAAACCACTGCCAACTCCGAATATGTGGACAACTTTCCAGGCATGGAGTTGAAACGAGGCAGCGGTCTAAGCCTGGTTGCAGATGCAAGTCCCGCTTCATTTATTTGTTCCATTTCTGGCCTTGATCCTTATTTTTAGTCGATCCACTTCCGCTCCCCCCAAGGAAGGGAGAAAAAGATTTTACGATCACACCATGGCTCGGCCTCGAATCGAACGAGGGACGCCTACTCAAACATAACCAGGGTCGCATGTATTTGATATGGTGCAGGTGCGGACCATCCGCCACCGAGCTGTTTCTGCATCTACTTTCAGCCAAAATAGATTGCAGACTTTTTTGAGACTGGGTAATGAAGGTGGTCTAAGTGGTGAGTACATTCAATACATACATAGTGCTTGACTGTGAAAAAAAGTCCTCTGAGTCTTAGATACATGCTGTCGCCAAAGTCGCAGTGTTTACCACGACAAAAACAAAAAAATGTTTTAACCAGGAATGCCTCGGGCTCGAATCGAACGAGCTACTTCTACGTGTACCCAATACGAGGCGCGACAATTGTTGTAGACGCGGACCATCCGCCACCGAGGCTTTTCAAACCATTGCCAACTCTGAATATGTGGGCGACTTCCAAGCTTAGAGTTGAAACGAGGTTGCAGTCTGAGCTCAGTTGCAGGATGCAAATCCTGGTTTGCTCGTTCTTTTGATTTCCTGCCTTGGCTCAAATGATCTGTAATATTTGGTCGGTTCAATTTCGCATCCACCAAGGAAGGGAGAAAAATATTTCACGATCACACCATGGCTCGGCCTCGAATCGAACGAGTGATTCTTGCTCAACTATATTACGACAACAATCGTTGCAGGCGCAGACCATCCGCCACCGAGCCGTTTCTACCTCTACTTGCAATCCAATAGGTTGCCAACTTTTTGAAGCTCGGAAATGGATACAAAAAAAAATGAATGTGGTCCAAAGTGGGGGTACATTCAATACATAGTGCTTGAAGATGTAATAGTAATAAGATTCCTTATAGACTGCGGTCTGTTATCCGTGGCCACTAAGGTCTCACAGCGTGTACCACGACAAAAAAAACCTCGTTGCGGCCCATGCATGCCTCGGGCTCGAATCGAACGAGCGACCTCTGCGCCATTGCTAGTGGAATAGCGTGCGAATTATTGCAGACGCGGACCATCCGCCACCGAGGCTTTTCAAACCACTGCCAGCTCCGAATATATTCGCATGTTTCGGAGTCGGTAGTGGAAGTTTCTCGACCCAGTTGGGGTGCGAGTCCCGGTTCATCTGGATTTGGTTTTTGATTTCTTCCATTGACTTGAAAGAATGGGGACATGTCGGCGTCTACCCAAGGAGGAAGAGAAAAAAAAAAGACGACACACACTGCTCATGGCTCAGCCTTGAATCGAACGAGAGTTTATGCGGGACTTGGTCCTGATTGCACCCAAGTATTGGATGCGGACTATCCACCACCGAGCCATTGCTTGCTCTACTTTCAGTCCAATGGTTGCCGACTTTCTTTGAGGCTGGGGAAATGGAACAAAATACATGTGGTGAGCACGTTCAATACATAGTGCTTGACTGTGAAAAAAAGACCTCACAGATACGTCTAAGCCAGACTGCGGCCAAGGTCCCACAGTGTTTGCCAAAGCAAGGAGAAAAAGAAATAACCTGGAGCACCAGCATGCCTCGGGCTCGAATCGAACGAGCTACTTCTACATACGGTATACCCAATTTTCGGCATAATGGTTTGTAGATGCGGACCAACCGCCACCGAGGCTTTTCAAACCATTGCAAACTCCGAGTATTTTGGCAACTTTCCAGGCATAGTGTTGAACCGAGGCAGCGGTCTGAGCTCAGTTGCAGGATGCAAGTCCTGGTTCATTTAAATTTGTTTCCTTGCCTTGGCTCGAGTGAACCTTGGTCGATCCACTTGCGCTTCTACCCAATGACTAAAAAAAGTTGATTTTTATTCTATGGCTCGGCCTCGAATCGAACGAGTGATTCCTGCTCAAACAGTAGAATCTGACACATCAATATCTGCATGTGCGGACCATCCGCCACCGAGCCGTTTCTACCTCTACTTTCAGTCCAAATAGGTCAGCTACTTTTTTGGAGGAGGGACCAAAAACATGAGCATTGTCCAGTGGAAATTCAGTGATATGTCAATGTGAAAAAAAAAGTCCGCGCAAATACAAACTGTGGCCAAGGTCCCACAGGGCACCCCAAAGCAAGGAGAAAAAAAAAAACTCAGACTAGATATCAACAGTGCCTCGGGCTCGAATCGAACGAGCGACCTCTGCATAACAAATAGTAACGGATAAACTGCTGCAGATGCGGACCATCCGCCACCGAGGCTTTTCAAATCACTGCCAACTCCAAATATGTGGACATAGAGTTGAACCGAGGTAGCGGTCTGTGGATGCAAGTATCGGGTCATCTGGTTTTTCAGTATTACTGTGGCTTGAATATTTGAATGAGGGAACCAGTGAATTGGATCGCGCCTGCCAAGGATGAAACAAAACAAAAAAAGGATGAATTCTATCACGCCAGCACATGGCTCGGCCTCGAATCGAACGAGGATTCCTGCTTAAATACAGCCAGGGCCCAGTATAATATTGTGCAGGACGGACCATCCGCCACCGAGCCGGTTAATGCCCTGCGCTCACTCGGAATATGTTGGGGACTTTTTTGAGGCTGGGAAATGGATACAAGGGTCTAAAGTGGTAGTATTCAATGCATACGTAGTGTTTGAATATGACAAAAAGTCTTCGGAGTCTTAGATACATGCTGTGGCCAAGGTACACCAAAGCAAGGAGAAAAAAAAAGACATTGAGGCCCAGCCATGCCTCGGGCTCGAATTGAACGAGCTACTTCTGCGCAATATTCGCTTCTTTCTTACCGAATTGGTGCAGACGCGGACCATCCGCCACCGAGGCTTTTCAGGACACTACAGACTCCAAATATGTGGGCGACTTCTCGGGCATGGAGTTGAAACGAGGTAGCGGTCTGAGCCTGGTTGCAGATGGTTCATCTGGATTTTGATTTCTTGCCTTGGCTCGAGTGAACCTTGGTCGATCCACTTTCGCTCCCCCCAAGAAAGAAGAAAAACCTGGATCATTAACTCCCCATGGCTCGGCCTCGAATCGAACGAGTGGTTCCTGCTGAAATGCAACCAGGGTACAATGTAATATTGTGCAGGCGCGGACCATCCGCCACCAAGCCGGTTCATACCCTGCTTACACTCGGAATATGTTGATGACTTTTGAGGCTGGGAAAGGGACACAAAATGAACGGGGTCCAGAATGTTGAGTAGTATATTCAATGCGTGGTGCTTGAATATTAAGACAAAAGTCTCCCTAGATAAATACTGCGGCCAAGGTCCCATTGTGTTTACCAAAGCTAAAATAAAATACGGTCCTTGACAATGCCTCAGACTCGAATCGAATGAGCTACGTCTGTGTAACATGTAGTTGCGCCGACCAAACGTTGCAGTTGCGGGCCATCCGCCACCGAGGCTTTTCAAACCATTGCCAACTCCGAATATATTGGCAACTTTCCGGGCATGGAGTTGAAATGAGGCAGCGGTCTGAGCCTGTTGTGGGTGCGAGTCCCGGTTCATTTATTTGTTCCATTTCTTGCCTTGATCCTTATTTTTAGCCGGTTCAATTTCGCTCCCACCAAGGAATAAAAAAGTTCCTGGATCATTCAATCTCCATGGCTCGGCCTCGAATCGAACGAGGATTCCTGCTTAAATACATCCACGGTCCAGTATAATATTTGCAGGCGCGGACCATCCGCCACCGAGCCGTTTCTGCATCTATTTTCAGCCAAAATATATATTTCCAACTTTTTTGAGGCTGGGGGAATGGACACACAATGAATGTGATGGGTACGTTCAATACACAGTGCCTGAATGTTAAAAAAGTCCTCTGAGTCTTAGATAAATACTGCGGCCAAGGTCCCATTTTGTTTGCCACGACAAAAAAAAAACCTGTTTTAACGACGAATGCCTCGGGCTCGAATCGAACGAGCTACGTCTGTGTAACGTGCAGTTTACTGACCAGCCGTTGCAGATGCGGACCATCCGCTACCGAGGCCTTGCAGGACAGTACAGACTCCAAATATGTGGGCGACTTTCCAGGCATGGAGTTGAAACGAGGCAGCGGTCTGAGCCTGTTGCGGGTGCGAGTCCCGGTTCATTTAAATTTGTTTCCTTGCCTTGGCTCGAGTGAACCTTGGTCGATCCACTTTCCCTCCTACCCAATGACTAAAAAAGTTTATTTTATTTACATGGCTCGGCGAATCGAACGAGGGACACCTACTCAAATACAACCAGGGTACAATGTAATATTGTGCAGGCGCGGACCATCCGCCACCGAGCCGGTTAACGCCTTGCGCTCACTCGCAATATGCTGGGGACTTTTTGGAGGTTGAGGAGAGAAAGACAATGAATGTTGTCCAAAGTGGTGAGTACGTTTAATACTGTAGTGTTTGAATATTAAGAAGAAGAAAAGTCCTCGCAGACAACTGTGGCCAAAGTCCCACAGCGTTTACCACGACAAAAAAGATAGTTCCGATCAAGCGCATGCCTCGGGCTCGAATCGAACGAGCTACGTCTGCGCAACATGAGAACACTTGTGAATTGTTGCAGATGCGGACCATCCGCTACCGAGGCTTTGCAGGACAGTCCAGACTCCGAATATATTGGCAACTTTCCAGGCATGGAGTTGAAATGAGCTCGAGGTTGCAGTCTGAGCCCAGTTGCAGATGCAAATCCTGGTTCATCTGGATTTTGATTTCTTGCCTTGGCTCGAGTGAGTTTTTTGGCCGGTTCCCTTTCGTACCCACCAAGGAACAAAAAAAACAGATGTACTACCTCAATATGGCTCGGCCTCGAATCGAACGAGTGATTCCTGCTCCACGATTACAATATCATGAATTGTTGCAGGCGCGGACTATCCGCCGCCGAGCCGGTTAATGCCCTGCGCTCACTCGGAATATGTTGGGACTTTTGGTAGGTTGAGGAGAGAAAGACGATGAATGTTGTCCAAAGTGGTAAGTACGTTTAATACTGTAGTGTTTGATTATTACCAAATTATTACAGAAGAAAAGTCCTCGCAGATAACTGTGGCCAAAGTCGCACAGTGTTTACCACGACAAAAAAAAGATGTGTTACAACCACGAATGCCTCGGGCTCGAATCGACCGAGCGACCTCTGCGCAACTGGGATAGCCTGCCAATTATTGCAGACGCGGACCATCCGCCACCGAGGCTTTTCAAACCATTGCCAACTCCGAATATATTGGCAACTTTCCAGGCATGGAGTTGAACCGAGGTTGCAGTCTGAACTCAGGTGCAGGATGCAAGCCTCAGTTCATTTAAATTGGGTGTTTGTTGCTTTCTATGACTCGAGTGAACATCAGTGGATTAGCTCGCGCCTGCCTAAGGATATATAAAATAAAATGTACTTTATAGCAACATATGGCTCGGCCTCGAATCGAACGAGAAATTCCTGCCTGCTCAACGTCGCGGTACTAAAACATTCGTTGCAGGCGCGGACCATCCGCCACCGAGCTGTTGCTTGCTCTGCTTTCAGTCAAAATAGATTGCCTACTTTTTGAGGCTGGGGAAATGGAAAAAAATGAATGTGGTGAGCGTATTCAATAGTGTTTGAATGGGAAGAAGAAGTATATAGACTGTGACCAAGGTGCCACAGTGTTTACCACGAAAAAAAAGCTTGCCGCCAATGCATGCCTCACCCATGCCTCAGGCTCGAATCGAACGAGCTACTTCTACATATACCCGATGCGAATTCCGCACAGTTATTGTAGATACGGACCATCCGCCACCGAGGCTTTGCAGGACAGTAAAGACTCGGAATATGTGGGCTACTTTTCAGGCATACGAGCTCGAGGTAGTGGTCTGAACTCAAGTGCAGGATGCAAGTCCCGGTTCATTTATTTGTTCCATTTCTTGCTTTGATCCTTATTTTAGTCAATCCACTTTCGCTCCTACCCAATGAGCAAAAAAATCCCTGGATCATTCAATCTCCATGGCTCGACCTCGAATGAACGAGGGATTCCTGCCTGCTCAACGTGGCGGTACAACAATTGTTGCAGGTGCAGACCATCCACCACCGAGCCGTTTTTGCCTCTACTTTCACTTCAATATGTCAGCTACTTTTTGAGGCTGGGGAGATGGAAAAAATGAATGCGGTGAGCGTATTCAATAGTGTTTGAATGTAGAAGAAGAAGTATATAGAATGTGGCCAAAGTCCCCCAGGGTACACCAAAGCAAAGAGAAAAAACCTTGCGCAGCAACCGTGCATGCCTCGGGCTCGAATCGAACGAGCGACCTCTGCGCAACTTGGATAGCTTGCGAATTATTGTAGATGCGGACCCTCCGCCACCGAGGCTTTTCAAAGCACCACGGACTCCGAATATATTCACATGTTCCGGAGTCGGTAGTGGAAGTTTCTGGACTCAGTTAGCGGTGCGAATCCCGAGTCATTTTATTTTGATGGGTGCAAGTAAATTGTTCTTTTCTTTTCTTTTTTGCCTTGACACTTATTTTTCGTCCATTTATCCCAAGAAAGGAAGAAAAAAACGCAAAGTATCACACCATGGCTCAGCCTGGAATCGGACGAGGCATTCCTGCTCAACTACATTACAACGACAATCGTTGCAGGCGCGGACCATCCGCCACCGAGCCGTTTCTGTCTCTACTTTCAGTCCAATAGGTTACCTACTTTTTTTTTTTTTTTTTGATGCTGGGAAATGGTCTAAAATGGGGAGTGCTTGAATATGAAGAGGAAAAGACTCCTTGTATATAACTGTAGCCAAGGTCGCACAGGGTACCCCAAAGCAAGAAGAAAAAAACAATCAGATCAAGGGCTGTCATGCCTCGGGCTCGAATCGACGAGGTACTTCGCCGAGATCTATTTTCTGCGTTGCATCCGCCACCGAGGCTTTTCAGGACACTACGGACTCAGAGTTTGTTGGCAAAGTTTATTGCACGCAGAGTTGTCTCGATTTATTCATTCATTTGGATTTCTTGCCTTGACTCGAGTGAGCTTTTTGGCTGGTTCAATTTCGCACCCACCAAGGAACAAAAAAAAAAAAAGACATAGTACCTCAATATGGCTCGGCCTCGAATCGAACGAGTGATTCCTGCTCAAATACAGCCAAGGTCAAATATATCTGATATTGTGCAGGTGCGGACCATCCGCCACCAAGCCGGTTAATATCTTGCTCTCACTCGCAATATACTGGGGACTTTTTTGAAGATTGAGGAGAGAAAGACGATGAACGTGGTCCAAAGTGGTGAGTATGTTCAACAGTGCTTCAATATGAAGAGAAAAAAAGTGCGCATTGGCCAAGGTCCCACAGTGTACACTAAAGCAAAAAAAAAACCCCTGCTGACTGACGAGACATGCCTCAGGCTCGAATCGAAAGAGCTTCGTCTGCGTAACACGGAGCGGTCTATTAACTGTCAGGTTGCAGATGCGGACCATCCGCAACCGAGGCATTGCAGAACAGTACAGGCTCCAAATATGTGGGCGACTTTCCTGGCATGTATTTAAAATGAGGTTGCAGCCTGAGCTCAGTTGCCGATCAAATCCTGGTTCATCTGGATTTTGATTTCTTGTCTTGGCTCAAATGATCGGTAATTTTGGTTGGTTCAATTTCGCACGGAACAACGGCCTGCAATCTGTAATGTACAAATGGAACCCACCGCGAAAAGGAATATCCGGCTCGCACCTGATTTTCGCAACAGCAACATGGAGTGCCTTGGCTGCTGCCGTCAGATCCGGAAGTGTGGGAGGGCTACAGAGGGGATCACAATTTTTGAAGAGATACTCATAAAATGTGTCTGCTATCTTGGGTCGTCCATCGTCCTGTACATCGGTCAGATTCAGTAGACTCAACAATCAAGGCTGATTACTAGACCTACCACAATGTTGCCACTACTCCACGGAATCCCGCAAACAGTAGGGTTGCTGCGAGGTGCATAGCCTCATCAGGTACATCGTGGAATGATTCGGGAAGTCCAACTGGCAACTAATACGTCTGTTTGCATTCCGCCGCGTTGGTGGCATTCAAATATTTCCCTCACGAATTTATTTCCAATGGGTTAGGAAAGGTGCCGTGTCCAATGGAGCTGGGGGTCGATCCTCGTGGGCGAAACGGCCCATCAGCCTTTCGGCATTTTACTTGTCACTTGACTGGTCTTGAATGCACTTTTCCTCTTGAATCCAAAAAATCTGAAAAACTTTAGCTTGTCAAAATGAATAAAATGACCCCGCACCCTGCAGGATTTTTTTTTTTTTTTTTCACTTGTGGAAAATCGGACCTGGCTTGATCACTTGTCACTTGCGGTCTTTTTAGGCCGAAACAAGTCAGATCAAGTGAAATCGAGTGCGATCAAGTTTTTGGCACAAAGTCTGATGGGCGCCCGAGAATTCCTGCCATCTGCCAATGCTATTTTATGGCTTTCATTTTATCGGTCAGGCTACAATGGATTAGGTTTCACAACTTGAACACATTCTAATTCCGTCGGCATACATAGTCTTCTGCGATTCCCTATGTCACCGGGAACGCAATCCGTCAATTCTGGCACCGGAGTCATCAACCCTCCGAAATTATATGTACTGAAGACCACGTCGACATCAAGCTGGAATGAATGTCAGTTTACAAATACCGACAATTCATGCCGTCTGTCGGCACTTCTATTGACTCGGGAACATATACCTCCTTAGGTCTTCTCTTGAAAGCACCAACCTTATAAAACCAGAGTCCTCAGGCCAAGATCCATCACACGCACACCACGATGACTCCGTTTTGTAAGTCCTGCATATTATTCTTGTTGAAGGTCTTGCTCACTGAGTCATTTAGACCTGAATGCCTTGTTTGGTCTCCTGGTCGCGAGATTCGCCCTCGCTGCGGCTCCCAACGGTAGACGTCAAAGTATTGTGGACCTTGCAAAGACAGCGTTAATACCTCTCTGACAATCTCTGATAGTTGTGACAACCACAGCAGCGCCGACCAGCGAATGTACTGGTTCAACCACAGTTTATTCAACCGCGACGAGCACCGCTACCACTACTTTGACGTCGACGGATTGGGTCACCATTACCTTGACCTCCACAGTTTACTCCACGGTTACGGCGACGGCGACGGATACATTTACTTCGACGGCGACGGACACAATCACTTTGACCTCCACGGACACGGTAACGGTGACCGAGAGCACCTCCACCACTATCACGGCAATACCAACCACGACGTCAACCAGTACGAGTACGGAAACACCAACCACGACGCCAACCAGCACAAGTACTTCAACATCAACACCTCCATCCACGACAACGAGCACCTGCGATACCGCCACTGCAACGCCGGTTACCTCGTGGACGTACCTCGGATGTTATACCGATAGTATCTCCGCCCGCACCCTCAGTGCGGTACAAAAGGGCGGCATCACCAACAACAGTGTGGCCAATTGCCAGGCCACCTGCTTGAATGCCGGATATGACTATGCCGGCGTCGAATTCAGCGTATGTCCATTCCCCCTTAGCCACTCTATTGCGCTGAGGTATCTCTCTACAGAGCCAGTGCTTCTGCGGCTCGTCCATCAGAGCCGGTGTAACCCTCGGAGGCACCTGCAACTATGCGTGCAGCGGCGGCGGTACGTACTCCGTTTTCTGTACCAACAATTTTAACGTATTTCGTCCCCATAGTCGGCACCTGCGGAGGGGACGATGCTATTGACATTTATAAGGCAGTGACGGCGCCGTGTGTAACACCATGGACATTCCGTGGCTGCTACCCCGACAGCATCGCCACCCGCACCCTCAGTGCGAAGCAAATTCTCGGCATCACTAACAACAGTGTAGCGAGTTGTCAGACGAGTTGCTTGGATGCCGGATATCGGTATGCAGGCGTCGAAGACTTCGTAGGTTTTTTGTTTGGAGTCAATTCATGGCGCTGAGGTATCTTTCGCTGCAGCGACAGTGTTTCTGCGACTCATCCATCCTAGCTGGCGTAAAGCCCGCAAGCCTGACCAACTGCCAAGACGCGTGCACCAGCGGCGGTACGCATCATCCCGCCTCGGTCTCTTTCCAAAAATTTTGATGTATTTCTTTGCGACAGTTGGCGCCTGCGGAGGGACCGATTATATTGCTATCTACGAGGCTGCCTGATGGATCCGAACCTGCATTTAGTACATGTGGCAGATTTGATTACACCTCTTTTGGATCGAGCTTTTCTTTGGA